TTTCCTGCTCCTCTGATGCTGCCTGGCCTGCTGTGTTCATCCAGCTCTACACCTTGTTATCTTGATTTTCTCTGCTATTTGCATGAATTCACCCTGGACAGTTCCAATTTTAAGGTTTGTCACCTCATTTGCTCAGCAATGCCACCAGAAGTTGTGCACTTTTCCAAAAATCAAAGAATCCCCAAGAATGCTAAATCATATTAGTTTTTGTCTGCGTATCTTCAGGCTTTTGTCTATGGAACATGTTTCTAATAATATGTGACTGACATGAGAGAGTTTGCTGATTCTGACAGAATGAGGGAGCTGTATTAGCATTGCCTGACAACATTATTAATCTAAGCTACTGTTAATTGTACAAATCAAAGTTGAAGACACTTAATTGTCCTCTGAAGTAACCAAAATCAAACTCCTCAGTGGTTCAAGATAAATGCTCACCACCATCTTCTAAGAGTAATTAGGAATGGGCAATAAATACTAGCCTCGTCAGCAACACCTATATGCTAAAATGAATTTTAAAATTGCTATGATTGTCCCAATAACTATGTCTAAGGAATTCTCAGGGTTGGAAGGGCCTCTTTGACTTCTGCATAACCACCTTTTGGACCAGGCTTTTGATCACATCTCCTAAGAGCTTCTTAAGTAGCTTGGTGACAAACTTGTTTAATAACACTTCTATGAAGCACCTTGGGAGGTTTTACTATGTTAAAGGGGCAATTTAAATACAAGTTGTTGTTTGCACCATATTTCAGCTAGAGAATTTCTGAATACAGTTACAAATCACACAAGACTGAATTTTCAATACAGTTCTTCATGCAAAATCATGTTATGCTATATAATTCAAAATGAGGGCAGTCTTCTCTTCCATACCTGCATCGTTGGACAGCACTACTTTGCAAAATAGCACTCCTGAAGTCTGGCAATAATATATGATACTACTTTTGTGGCAGGGGAAATAATTTTTACTGAAGTGATTGTGAGTCTTATTTTTAACAGCTATTGCAAAAAAGGTAATAGGTTTTTCTCTGAGGTAATTTTAAAAGATAGCTGTTCAGAAAAATAAATAAAAAACAATAAACAGTTCTTTGGCAGAAAGTTTCAGTAACATTTATTGTCCAGTGTTTTTGCTTCTCAACTTGGTTTCTTAATCAAGAATGCAAGTATACCTAATTCTTATGCTATAACAGGACTTTTTCAATGTAATGATAATTTGTGATACAGAGAGAGACTCTGGTTCAAAATAGAGTTTTCCAGATGAGATTGTGATGGGATGGAAATAATATCATTAGATACAGGCAAGTGTAGTCTAAAATTTCAAAATGCAATTTACATAGGAAGAGCAAACTATCGTAGATTAATCTCAGCATTTGGAAAGCCAGGATGCTCCATTTTCCAGGAAATATATGTAAATACAAAGAAGAAAATGGCAAACAGTGGAAAGCTATCCACTTCAATAAATATTAAGTTAAATCTGAAATATTAAGTTAAATCAGAAATCCCCGAACTAGACGAGGCAATGGATAACTCAAAAGCCTTTTCCATTAAGTGGATAATTGGGTAAGAGCAAAGGAATTAAGAAGTGAGCAGGAACTCACTTCACACAAAACAACAACCGATAGAGCCTCCAAATAACCATTATAGGAGAGCTGAAGGACTTGATTCAACTTGGATTGATTCTATTTAATTAAAGAGACGATGGGAGAGATATGTATAGATTGTATAGTGCACTTCTTTGAGTGCCACGCACACCAAACTGAACTTGCTGGGGACAGGCAGTGTAACAGGCCACTACCTGTATGTCTCACATAGTCTTTTCCAATAGCATCAGCAAAGAATGGCGCAAGAATTAAACCAGAAATAACACTAGATGAAGATATTTCTCTACCATTGTCTTAAAACAAATCAAAAACTCTACTTTTGCACAGATGGTTTTGAGATATTTACTGCTTCTATCACAGCATGTGAAAGACTTTGAAATGACAAGGTGTGCGTGTGAAAACAAATGTTAAGGTCTTTCAATTAAAGACTAAATACCCTTAATATTTAGCCTTGATAGAAGATGAGGCTTGACATATAGTGGGAGATTGAACTCAGAATCACAGAATGATTACTATGCAGCAGGAGGCCATTTGGCCCATTGTGCTGGCACCTGTTTGGTCACCTAGTGCTAATCTCCTGCCTTCTCCCCATATCCCTCCCCATATCCCCATATCCAGAAAACCATCCTATGCCCTCTTGAATACTTCAATTACACCTGCCTCCACCACATTTCCAGGCAGTGCATTCCATATTAAGGTATGGACATTGTTCAAAGTACTGTTGTAGGGTAATGTCCTCAGGACCATACACCAGCCATCTGTTGAGGCAATATGCTCCGATATTTGCTTGCTCTGCATTTGCTTTCTGTGCTGCCTGAATTTCCTTTAGTCTGTGTTGTAGCTGGTAGGGATTTGAAGTTCCAAGAAGGGCAGGATTCCAGGTATGAATCCTGATTTTTTTTATTTTCGGAGTCTGTCTGCTGTATGCTCCGCCAGCCTCACTTATCGCTGGAGTGTAGCTGCCTCGAGATTTTACTTCTGTGTTTGATGGTTCTCACCCCCAGTTGGTCAGTCCTCATTTGAAAGTGCAGTGATTTCTTTTCTTAACCTTTTTTAAATCTCTGCAGTCTTCCTCCCATTTCACTGTACTGTTGCTTTGTTCTCTTGCCCTGTTTTAATGTGGGAACATGGCTACTGCTGTTGCTTTCGTTCGTTTTAAATGTTCATGCCAGTTCTGGGCCCCACCAGGT